AGTTAGGAAGTACATTCCAGGTGTGGGACAGAGTGTGCAAACACACAGAGACTGAGGTGGATTGTTATTTATGAGGAACAGGGAGGCCATTTTGGTTTGACTGTAAAGTATGAAGGGGAATAATGTGGACTAAACCTGGTAAGTTAGGCTAGAGTCAGATCATGAAGTGCTTTAAATACCAGACAGCAAAATATGATTTTACTCTGCAGGTATCAGGAAGCAATTGAAGTTTTTGAGCAGGGGAGGAAAAGCTCAGAAGGAGCAGAAGCAAGCTTCTATCCTACTGTCTACTCTATTGAATTCAATTAAATAAGTACAGTTATGAGTTAAATTATTTGGCTACCTTTAGAAATAAAAATCCAAGAGCACAGCAGTTGTGTCTCTTTAATGGAGTTTATTAACACTTTCATCCTACTGCATTTTTCCCCTGGAAGGTCAAAGTACTTTATACTAGAGGTATAGGAGTATATCTACTATCTACTATCTATATCTAGTAGATATCTAATACATATATATATATATATATGTGTGTATCTTAGTATATCTAATATCTACTAGGGGTAGATATTACTGCCTTCTTTGTTTTACAGATGAGAAAACGAAAATAACTTGGTGAACTTACACTGGAGCAGTGTCAACTCATGTCTCCTAAATCTCAGTTTGGTTCCTCAGGTCCCATAATTATAACATGACCCCCTTTATATTGGTAGTGAGAGGTCACTTAAAAATAGAGTGTATTACCAGGCATCCACATATTGTAAACTGTCATGTAGGAAATTTAGGACTGATATGTGGCAGATCAACACTTTTAATCCTAATCACCTGATTACAAAACCATCTTTAACCTGAACAGAGACTTTCCCATAAGATAGCACAGTATAATTTATGAAATTCATCACTCTGGAAAGCCCAGGCCAGAACAGCACTAGGCTTGAGATGGCCCTGAGTACTAAGGAAAGGGCAGTCACTTGCTTTAAGCAGTCCTGGGGCTATTTATTTGCAAATCTCATTTCTTTTCAACAAAGTTAGATAAAACAACAAAACTCTGCAGATGTCATATTTTTCACTGAAGATGAGCTTAAAGGCCTTGAGCTAAGAGTAACAGTAAATTAAAACCAATCCAAATGGAGAGAATTAAAACCCAGATAGTAATCCCGGCTTTCCTTTTTTCTCTATGACCTGGAACACGTGGCTTCATCTCTGTAGTCCTCAGTGTTCTCATATATAAAATGAGAGAGACCCTACTTCTAATGAAGCTAGCTATTAGTATCAGATCATTTCCTTTAATTATCCTTATTCCCATCTAGCCAGTTTTACTGAAATGTTCATGATGTTACTGAAGTGACCACTGGCAGGCCTCTTCCTGACCATAGTTCTTACCCCCTCATCTCATGAATCAGGTAACAGGATTTTCGCTCCTGCCCCCTCTCCTGAGGACTTTGGGAGTTGGGGACTGTGAAGGTGACTGTACTTTGTTGATCATGCCATCTATGTAGTGATAATGGGGCTTCAGTAGCCTGCCTTGAATGGAGGCTTGTTCTGTACAGAGGTCAGACAGCCCGGATCGACGCTGCCCTCGGCACAACTACGGTCATTGTTGCAATTAAAGGCCATATGGACCACCTGGCTCAGGTTCTCCCACATCGGTAACAGGACCAAACTCTAGATGAATTGTAATAATAATAGGTCACATTTATATAGTACCCACTATGTGCCAAATACTGCACTAAGTGCTTTACACACACTATCTCATTCAATCCTCACAACTTTGGAAGTAGGTACTACTATTATTCCCATTTTACAGGTGAGGAAACTGAGGCAAACAGAGGTTAAAGTGTCTTGCCCAAGGTTTTCCTAACTACAGACCTGGCACTGTGAGACTGGTCATCCACACCATCTAATACGATCTCTAAAGGTGACACCATGACACAAGGCTGCTGCATTCCAAAATCCCGATCTTAAAAGATTTAGGGTCTTACCGTTATCCTTGACATGCTTCTGGACTCATTCTGGACTCTGTTTTGAGCCACCTACATTTCTAGCATGGAGCTAGAAAAAGGATGGCTTACTCTAGCAAAGTAGAACAGAAGAAATGCTATCAAGCCAAGGGGAAATTGAGGCATTTCATCAGGAAATACTTTGACAGTAAGTACTATTAGTTTGAGGAAGTCTCCTAAAGGAAGGGGAGGACAAATTGCCAGTGTATTTATCACACTACTAATGGTATGCCTTTCTGTACTGTCAGGAGATGCCTAAAAGAGCCTTTCCTCCTTTTTGTATTTTCTGTGATTCCTCATCTAAGGGCAGTCCGTAAGATACTTAACCCAACATTACTATCAACAATAGAACCAAAAGGAAAGTGTTGGTTTTGTTTCCTTTTTTTTTTTTTTTAAACAAAAATATAATTCAGTTAGAGAAATGGGTCTAGAGTAGGGGTGGGGAACCTTCGGCCTCGAGGCCATATGTTGCCCTTAGGGCCACACTTGAGGACCTAGAGGGCCACGTGTGGCCTTGGGCTGCAAGTTCCCCAACCCTGCTCTAGAGTCAGGAAGATTGAGTTCAAATGTGACCTCATACACTTACTATGTGACCTGGGCAAGTCATACTCTGTTTGCTTCAGTTTCTTTGTTTCAAGGACCAAATGAAATATTTTTAAAGCACTGGATCTGGCACACAGTAGGTGCTATATATGTGTTTATAAAGTTTACTTAGTTACTTCATTTACCATAAATCTTTCTATTTTAACTTGTGAATTTTTTTCTTCCATTTGAGTGGCAGAAGGTCAGTTATCATACAGAGGACCTCAAGCTGTGTCTGCCTCTTTGAGAGCAAAATATACAGGCCTGATCCTATTATGTACTTTTATCACTACAGACTTATGAAGTGAAGAGTGTGCTGGGAAAGAAGGTGGGGCCATTAAATTGTTTCGTCCAGACCATAACCAACCACCCGACAAGCTGCATGGGATTGGAGGAAATTGAACTTCTACAAGCCGGAAGAAACTAAGATGATGACTGCCGGTTGCCATAGTATCAATGAACTTTGCAGTGTGGTTACAAAGTTGTTTTGTAGTTACTTGTTAACTAAAGACCAAGAGGATTTATATTAATTACAAACAGGATCTTGAAATGTCACTTATTTTCAATTTCTCTGGGAACACGTTTGGAAAATGAGTCATTAATTATCAAAATACACTTTTTTCTACACAATCATTAATTGTGTCATCATCATCATCTACAGTCGTAGCAATATATTGGTGGAGTTTAAATATTGCACTAAAAGCTGAAGTTTCTAAATGGATTTTGATGTTTTAAACATGGAAGGAAAATTAAAATTTTTAAATGTCATAGTTGGAACAACCTTTTACTGGGATTCTAAGGATTTTTTTCACCTTGTAGTGCTTGATTTAACATTATCTCCTGTAGGTGCATGCACTTCTACAATAAATATCCAAAGTTCAGTAACTTTGTTATTTTTAGGAAACATACTGAGAAACTGTGGCAAAGGTGAAGCTGTTTCCCATAAATTGTAGATAGTTAACCAGTATGCTATCATATATCTACTGTATTATAATGGAAGTGTTAGATAAGAAGTTTTACAACCAAATCATACTGTGAAATATGGACCCAGAACAAAGATTAGGTAGATTTAAATACCTCTGTGAGATTCTAAATCTCCCCAACTACTGAGAATCCCTTTTACCTAAATGGAAGATAAGAATATGGTTATCTTGCTCTTCTTTTGTGGGCAGTGATTTAAATTGAATGTGGAGCCATGAACTATTCTTTGCACCCTAAAAAGATTTTTTGTATTGCTTGCTTTCCAACAATGTGACCAGAAACATCACATTACTAATTTGGGAGAATTTATCTATTTTACCTTTGGAAAAGTCAATGCAACAGCTAGGCCCAAAGTGTCCTTTTCAGGTTTGGATGTATTAGGCCAAGAAAAGGTAGAATTACTGTTTCCTCCCACCCCACCCCCCTTTTTACCTTCTGCCTTCTTTCTTTAAAGAAACTGGTTGGCCTTTTTTCATCCTTTTTAAATTTCACCCAGGCCTTAAAGATCCCTAAATGTAGTCAGGTTTTCTGCTAGAATAAACTAGACACCAGAACATGCTTTTAATCACCTGAAGGTGATTACTACATATTTTATACTTTTAAGTTAATTTGCAGTTTTTTCAGAAAACCTGAGGCAACGTAAACAAAGATGGGCAGATGAAATCTACCAATAATTAAAAATTATCTTGGCCAATAACCTCCTTCCTACCAGCACTGGAACAGCTAAGTAACTGTAGGGTCACCTAATTCGATTCTCACCTCCCTTCTAAGCCCTTCCCTGGCTCGATTTTTTATTAAAATACGAAAACTGTGTTTTGTGGCCAGTAATCCTCCCCCCACTCCCACAAACACACCCAGAAGCCGAGGGGAGATGAGCTTGGTTTATCTAAAAAGGGGTTGGTCACTCACTCCGAATAGATTAAGTAACTTCTGGGAAAAAAAAGAAATATCGTCACAGAATTAAGCTAGTTCATGGGTAGACTGCCACCCTGCAAAGTATTTTTCTCGGTCTGTTAAAAACAAATATTCCAGGGTACATTTGAATATAAATTTATAGTGACACATGGCTTATTTTCGGTATGTAATTAAAATAAAAAGTTTTCCAATACTCTTAAAAGTGTCGATGGGTATAGACTTGGGGGATTTGAAATACCAACTATAGATTCCCCTTCTTGCTAATAATAATACTCTAATTTCAACCGCCAGAGCAAGGAAGTTTGAACTACTGAGCCTTCCTGGTGTTGACTCACTCATACAAGCCACGGGGGAATGAACTTTTACACCATGGAGTCACGTGAGCTACCTGCATGTTGGTGCAAGCAAGTTTCTCAGTAGTATGTCCCAGCCTCTCCCTAGCTGCTGCCAAAGGTGTGGGTCCACCTGTGGCCTTTCCCTACGAGCCTTTTCTTACAAGGTCACTGTGAATACAAGAAGCAGGAATGATTTAAAATGCTTTTTTTTATTCTTAGAAATACTGTAAAAATTAATATAAAAAGTTGAGCATGCTCAGGCTTTTCCTCTTACCTACAATACAAAGGTTGGTTTTTTTTAATCTTTTTTTTTTTACAAATGTACCATAGCTGCATCAACAGAAGTAAGATGTAGAAAAAAAAAACAACAAAACGAAAGCTACCATTACAAAAATAATTTAAGGAAAACATTTTATAGCTTCTCTTGCAGTTTGGTTGTGTGTTAATCCAGAATGTAGCTTCATCCAGCTACTGCGTTCAAAAGAAACAAAACCACCAACAATTTCACGTTTCTTGCTGCATGCCACAGAACAGGCTGCGAAAACACGTAGGGTTCTGCTACAAGGTGATCTTTGGAGTCTCTGAGGTATTGATAGTTTGACTAATCGTCTCTGTCCCTCTTCCCACCCGCTCCTCTTCCCCGAGCCGCCCCCCCCACCCCGGCCCCGTTCCCTGTCGCCCTCGACAGCTCCCGACACCCCCACTTCGGTCCCAGTTACCGACAGTCAATGCCCGAGGAGGCGGTGCCGGCTTGGAGAAAGGACGAACTGGGCAGCTGTTTAAAAAACTGTCTCAGGCTCGATAAGTCCCTGGTCAGCTGCTCGATCTTCTTGTGCAGTTTCTCGTTCTCGGAGGAGAGCTCCACCAGCTTCTGCTGCATCTCCTGGTTGCGCTTTTTGGCCTTGTCCCGGCTCTTGCGCACCGCGCTGTTGTTGCGCTCCCGCCGCTGCCGGTACTCGGGGCTGAACCGGTCCAGAGACTTCTTGCCGCCGCCGCCGCCGCTGCCGCTCTTCTCCTTGCCCAGATGTGGCGGCGGCGGCGCTGGCGCCGCAGGGGAGCGGCCGCTGGAACAGCTGGAGCTGGAGCTGCAGCCCGACGGCTCCGGGGAGGTGGGCGGGGTGGGCTGGCCGGCCGCCGATAGGTTCATGATGGTCTGCGCGCAGGTGGCTATCTGCGAGGGCAGCAGGGACGACGACATGTCGCTGTCGCTCCAGTCGGGCTCCTGCTTCAGGGCGCTCGGCGGGGACGCGCTGGTGCCCGCGCCCAAGAGGCTGGCCATGGCGCTGGCGAAGTCCTTGTGCGCCGGGGGGTGGGAGTGCGCGGGGTGCCCGGGCAGGTACTCGTAGTCCCCGGCGCTGGCGTGGCTGCCCGCCCCGCCGCCCCCGCGCTCGGGCTTGTGATTGCTGTTGAAGAGGTCGGCGAAGAGCTCGTCGTGGCACAGCTCCAGGTTGGGCACGGAGGACATGGAGTCTATGTAGGAGCTGAAGTCGATGGCGCTCTCGTCGTCGTACATGGCCGGTGCGGCCGCGCTCAGCTCCGCCAGGTTAGCACCGCCCCCGCCGCCGCCGCCTCCCGCTCCTCCTCCCCCGCTGCCGCTGCCGCTGCCGCCGTGCTCCTCGCAGCCGCTCAGGGGGCCCCGGCCTGGCTTGCAGGAGGCTCCGAGCCCACCGGGGCCACCGCCGCCTTTATTGGTCTCGTAGAAGTTGGCCGGTTCCATGGACCAGTTCCTGTAACATGCCGGGCTGTCGAGGCTGTAGAGCGCGGTGCTCATGGAGCCGGGCGGGCACCTGCGAGCCCCGCGCTGCGCGCGCCTGAAGGACGGGAGTCCGCACCTGGGGCTGCTGGAGCTGCGGGGCTGGGGCTGGGACAGGCACCCGGGGCCGGCACCCGCTGCGCACCGGGCGCGGGACTCTGGGACTGGCCGCTCGCTCGCTCACTCGTTCGCTCACTCGCTGGCCCCGGGACTCCCTGGCTCACTCCCTCATCCCCCACCGGCTTCCTTGGTTTTTTCCCCCTTGCTTCCCACGGCCCAGATGCTTGTCAGACTCTCAACGGGTCGGTGCAGCCCAAACCAGTCCCTTTTCTACCCCCGGGGTTGTGACGTAAGGCCCCGCCCCCGGGTCGGCGCCCGGTGTTATCCGAACCCTGGGAGAGCTGGTGCGGGGGCGGGCGAGCGGGAAGGGGCGGGATCGGCGGGGACGGGCTGCCCCAGCCCCCTCTGGCTCCGGACTGGGCCGGCCGCCCGAGGGGGTACGCTGGGCTGCCCGGGAAGCGAGCGCCTTCGGAGCTGCGTGCGGGGCTGCGGGCGCCAGCCCACCTCGGAACCTCGGGGGCCACGTGGGAGCAGGGAGCCGTGGGGCAGAGGAGGCCGGAGCTGCGCGCTCTGCCTCCTCCTGCTGTCCTCCTTTCCTTCCCGCCCTCCCCCACCCCCTTCGGGATACGGCCCGGGCCTGGCTGCTGGGAAGGACCCTCCCTCTGCCAGTTTTTCAACGTGCAGGACTCAGTGTTCTCATCCCCTCCTTCCTGTTTATGGGGCTTTGAACCACCTCATTCCTCAGGTGAATGGAGGGGAAGCCAAACCACTGGAATGGTCCGAGGGCCCCGGTGCTCCCTCTTCCTGGGAGAGCCAGGTCACTGGGCCATTTAGATAAGGGGTGAAGGGGTAGTGGCCATTTTTCCACGTGATTCCCTCCCAGGAGGTAAGGGACTAGAGGATGAAGTGACAGACAGCCCCCAGGAATTAGCGCACGTCCTAGGGGGAGGGAAAAGTGAGAAAGAGTGCGCTGGCACCGACTCATTCGCTGCCTAATGAGGCTTTAAATGCAAGCAAATGTTTCTACTGTGCGTAAGGTTACAAAGACACAGATAACAAAATAGTCTCTTGAGGCAAGAAATTGAGTTTTGTTATTTGTGTATCTATGCACGTTACATTTGACCCATAAGCCAGCGTCTCTTCGTGCCTCGTACGGCTGATGATATAACGAAAGGCTTCGTGCAGTTTAGACGGGGCACACACTTGAAGCATGTACACGGACTCTCCCCTTGCGCCCCCACCCCCAGCTTCAATGAGGACGGGAAGCTGTTAATATTTTTCAGTCACAGCATTATCGCCGCTGCCGATCACGTTTCCAGAATCATGCAGACCCTGCTGGAGCCTGAATTCCCTGACCAGAATGTGTTTAAATTTGTAAACAATCTCTTCACATCCGGTCTCCTGTTGCATGCCGCAGCTGGTGCGCAAAAGCCCTCTGACATTGCCTGCCATCTACATCGCTATCAGAGAAACTTACTCCCCTTTGCTTAACTATGCTTCAGTCTAAATGACACACTCAGGTTGGAATCATTATCAACCGAGGAGAGGAAACTGGGCAAGTCCAAGAGTCACAGCCACTACCAGTTAGTTTTCGGGGGTGGGGGGAGAGGAGACAATGGTGGAGGCTGCTGTGACACATACACACACTTCTGTCAGCTAGACAACAGCAGTAACCGCCCATCTTTGTCAGCCAGCTGGGAGAGAAAAGACAGATGTCATGGCAGGGGGAGGGAGGAAGGGAGAGGAGCTTCCTAAGGTTCAGCCAAGATGTTTGCAGATAGTAAGATGAGCAGGGGCCATTCCACCGCTCCATGCTCTCACTAAAGCAATGGCTTCTGCGAAGTTTTAAAGCTTACTGCAAATAGGTGTTTGTGACTTTTTTTTAATTTTGAAGTCTCTTCAACATACCTCATATTTGCCTTAGCAAAGTTTAGCAGAAATATTTCAGGAAGTTCTGGGCAAGGGGAAACGTGCTTAGTCGCGTCATTTAATTAAGCAAGAGAATATTCTAACCATTTTCCCACTTAGGTGTCCTGACATCTGGAGAGTAGTCTCAAAGTGCACACCCGAAATGTTTCAGCAGGGGTACAAGCTTAGGTCCTTTCAACCACACTTGCGCTGTTTCCAAGATGACAGTCACAAACCTTGTTATGTCTCAGGTTATTATACATGTAAATCAATGCACCCCATATGCAAATTCTCTTCAGCACAATGCAAGCTTCTATTTGCTTTAAACTCTTGACCAAGACAGTTGAACCATGAAAATGAGCTCATCTTGCCATCAGCCACCCCCCTCCACTTGGCTGCCTGGTTGTTCCTTATGTGTATCTCTCCACCTCCACAAGCATGGGGCCTTGCTTCAGGAAGTGGAGGCCATGTAGTTCTGTGTGTCCCAATAACCACAAAAGTGCTATTATAACTAATAGGCTCGCATAAATTAAATAGAAAGGCTTACAAAAATTATGGCTTTAGAAAGTTCTATGTTTCTCAGCTGTTCTTATGTCTACTTCTTGGCAGAAAGAACATCCATTTTTGCATGTTAATGAACATGTTTCTGGGCATGAGGCTACTGAAGAGTGCCACCTTGTGGTTTGGTCTTGCATCAGCCTTATTAAGGCCTTTTAATTCCCCACCTCCAATTATTCTAGTAAGACATTCTTTTGAATTGATAGCATCTTTTAGTACAGATCTTGAAAATGTTTGTCATGATTACCTATTATCCAGTATCTTCACTTTCACAGCTCACTCATTCTGCAGCTGTCATGCAAACCTGTACCCCCCTGACATTCAGACCAAATAACAAACCCTTCAAAAACTAAAGTAGTTTTAAACACTCAGTTTCTCAGGATAATTCAGTTTACAATTTATTACATGCATACTATGTACAAGGCTAGGCAGCTAGGTGGCACAATGGATGGAGTGCTAAGCCTGAAGTCAGGAGGACCTGAGTTCAAATGTGGCCTCAGATACCAGCTGTGTGACCTTTGGCAAGTCACTTAACCCTATTTGCCTCAGTTTCCTCATCTGTAAAGTGACCTAGAGAAGGAAATGGCAAACCACTCTAGTATTTTTGCCAAGAAAACCCCAAATGGGGTCATGACAAGTAAGATACACTAATTGACAAAAAATGTACAAAGCATGCTAGACATGAAGGAGCACAGAAATGAATAAAAAAGGGGTCTCTGTCCCCACAGAGCTTACGGTTTAGTTGAGTAGATTTGTCATAGGTCAAGGATCTGTGATTTCTTTCATGTGGAATTTCACTTAGCAGATAAATATTAGAGAGCTAACAACTTCAGAGAGTCTACATGATTTGTCCATAGGCACACAGCCAGTAAGGGATGGAGGTAGGATTTGAACCTGGGTCTTCCTCCAAGTCCAGCACACCATGCTGCCTCTATTTGGGCAGATGATATACATAAAAATGATAACTATAATACAATTTAGAATACAAATTCGCAAGCAGGTTACTGTGAAAATCATAGATGAAACATGGAGATGTTTTTTGGACATGACCAATGTGGAATTTTGCTCTGCTTGACTATGCATATTTATTCAAGGGTTTTGTTTTTCCTTTCTTTTGTTAATTGAAAAAAATATTTAAAAGGAAAGAATCAGTGAGAGAGAGAGATAATGAACTTCTGGTTTGGTGTACTAGGGTAGGTTTTATGAAGGAGGCTATACCTAAACTAGACCTTAGGACATAGTTAGAATTTCAATAAGCAGAAATGGTGGGGACGACATTCTAGACACCCAGCAGTGGGAAAGAAAAGGCAAAGAATCATGAATAGGATGTGTATCGTATAATTTGTCTTAAGTTTAGTATATATAAATATAAAGTAGTGTGAAATCAAGCTGGTGAGGTAATCCATGATCCCATCAATATGGGAGTTCCCTCCAATGATGAGGATCACAACCTATCCATGGAAGCTAATAATGTGTGTCTCTTGTCTACATCCTTCCATAAGTTCACCAGAAGTGCCAGAGGCCTTCTTCTCTTCCTGTTAACGTCATGAGGGTATCAGTGGAACACTCTGGCTGTCCATCTGTCTTCCCTCACTATCACCACATGGCCAGCCTACCTTCTCTTCCTTTCATACAGTTCTTTGATTATATCTTTTATTCCTGCTCTTTTTTGGAGTTCCTTACTGGTTAGATGTTATAGCCTACTCACATCCACCCTGTGCTTCCCCATTTCCCTCTGTGGGATATTCATTTTTTATTATTCAGATATAATTGTATTCCATGTTTTGATGCCATATAGCAGCACCAATAAAATGGACCTTTGCTTTCATGGGAACTCAGAATCAGTTTAGTAATTTCCTGAAACAATCCAGCTTGCTCTTCTCCTCATGTTTAACCACAACTCATCCTTCTGATATTGTCCATCCCAGGTAGGTATCCTGATATATGAGTTCTCTAGAATGTTCATCCAAATGCAGGTTGAAATCTGGACAATAGACATTTTCAACCATCTGATCTTTCCTGTGTGGTTGAAGAGGCCAAACTCCTTTGATTACAGGTATCTTCCAGGAGGCTCTGAAGTAATTAGTATAATGACATCTAAAAACAAGAATACCTGGAGAACCTCACAGGCAAGATCCACCGGGAATCCCTCTTGAACATGGAATCTTGGCTGAATATTCTCCATCATAGTGCTTACACCTTTGTTGAGTATACCTATTTTATACCTCACCTAATGTTTATAATCAAAGGATTATTAAACAGTATTATAAATCACATTTGTGTATATTTGTGTTTATATTGTCTTTCCCATTAGATTGTGAGTTCCTTGAGGGCAAGAAATGTTTTTGCCTTTCTTTGTATCCTCAGTACTTAGCACAGTGCCTGGCACATAAAGAGCATTTAATAAATGCTTATTGATCTGTTGACTTCAAGATATCTTCAATGATTTTTAGGTACGTATGAGAGATATCTTTTTGTTTGTTTGTTTGTATGTTTGTTTTTTAGGCATTTGGGGTTAAGTGACTTGCCCAGGGTCACACAGCTAGTAAGTGTCAAGTGTTTGG